TCGTTTATAATTACGGTTTCGTGTTCGCGTTTCCATGGAAACAAACGAGCAAAATTTCCCTCGATCCAATTTGAAAGATGAGAAGAGAAAAAATATAAAAACAAACAACAAACAAATGAGAGGTGATGATGATCGTGACTAATTATTTTATGATTAGATGAATTATTAAGTATTCCGTGCGGACGTTCGAGTCCCTCCCAAATGAGTAACCGAATTCCGATTAATCGATTTCGATAGATCACAATTATGGGACTCATTACGCGAAAACAATAATGAAACATCAACAAAGAGAGCGAAGCGTTCATTACGTAAGCTCGAATGCTGAAATCGCGTGTGTCTTTATGGCGAAAAAAGGAAATCGCGGCGCGGCGAGTTGAGTTGACTGACGCGCGCTCAATTTTCTAACTGAAAAATTCTGATTGACGTTTTGCCGCCATCGCCGCCACCGGAAATACACGCATACGCGATGAGAACATTGTTATTTTCACGTGCATCATAATTCTGCAGCTTTATTGTATACACATTTCTCGGTATTTCAATTGCTACAATGATGATCGATGTTGCTATGCCAAAATCGACTGATGATCTTCATTTATTTAAAAAAAAAAAGAGAAAAAGAATGCACACGCGTATAAAATGACACCTCTCTCGCCTCTTAAAACACACACATATATATATATTTTTATAAATAAACGATTCGCTCAAGCAATTTATATTTGCCCGGCTGCGTCATGTCCACGAATTGACATTCTCTGCATTTCCGCTCGTAAACTTGTTGCTATTTCGTTCCTTTTGTCAATAAGACTTTGCCTTTGTTCCTCATTGGTCAGATTCATCTGATTTGAATCATCCGCCAATCAATGTAAACAATAAAAGAAAACAAAAACCTTCCGAGAATTAATGCCTCATTTCGTTGCACAACTTTCGCAATAGAAACGTCAACTCGTTACATAACATTGCGAATGTCAAATTGAATTGTCAAATGAAATAAGGAAATGTTTGCAAATGAAAATCTGTAGTTTCGGTTATCATAGAAACGTTATGGGATAAATAATTGATTGAACAATTGAACGATCCGATTGAAATGGGTCCTACGTTTGCAATTGTCTTTCGTAATTGAATGAAAGCGATTGTAGCCGCGATTTGATTTTCGTATTACGATGATGCTGATGATGAAGTTGACGATGAACGAACGAACGTCCGTCCGTCATCATCATTGTCATCGTCATCATTATCAAGCAATCGCCGCCGCTTCTTGACCGCGTTCTCACGCCGACCGGGCTGAATGAATAAACGACCTTTTTATTCAATCAAGTGCTTAAGCGTCTCTAACTTAATTAGTGGACATCGGATGACTTACAATTCACGCACACATAAATAAATAAAGAAATAAATAAGTAAATATACGCTTGTAACAGAGCAAACCGAATTATCTCGTTTACTAATTGGATGTGCATTATTTACGACCTCTTCTTCTTCTACTACTTCTTCAACGAGACGCATCAAATCTAATACTTTCACTATACATTTCTCCATGGAAACACAACAACAACATTAAGTAAATAACAACAATAACAAAATAAAATTTCAAAAACAAAAGAAATTTAATTTTGTTTGTTTCTTCGTAAAGTGAGAATTTTTCAAATAATTTTTTTAAACAAAATTTGAATAGTAGAAATAGACAAATAGAAAGAAGAGATAAGTTTAGAAGAGGAGTTGTGTTTTTTTTTTCAATTAGGCCTAAAAATAATTTCAATTTGGCAGAAAACATCACACAGCGCTCTCTGATCATTTCACTATAAATATGTCTTACATGTAATTTTTTTGATGTTTTTGTTTTCATTATTATTTTTATCATCATCGTGATTGGCCTATGTCAAATGGATTTGCATTTGCCAATTTTTTTTTAACTTTAGTCATGTTTTATAACTTTTATTAAAATTATTTTATATTATTCATAATTTAAAGATAAAGCTTTTAGGAATGTACAGAGTGTACTAGTATAGTTGTAATTTATGCTGTAACAGAGTTATTGATTTCCAAAATTTGTCAAAAAAAATAATAAAAAATTTACCGAAATTTGTCCTAAAAAAATGTTTCAACGATGCTTTTCAACGATTATCTCAAAAAGTAATAAAGATAGAATAAAATTTTAAAATTTCAATTGAAGATTAAACTTTAAGGAATGTAACGAATGTACTAGTACAGTTGAAATCCATATATTAATGAAGTTATTGTCTATTAATAATGTAAATTAAAGAATGGAGAATTCAACAATTATATAAAGCTGAAATTGAAGGGAATAGATGATGGATGAGTCGTTGCTCTCGGAATTGAACTAATTAAATTACAACCTGGCAATCTAGTAATTAAGTGCTACAGCAAAAAAAGAAGTTTGCGAAACATCTGAAGTCCGTCGCCCACTGTACCATGTCCTTCTCATCTTTAGGCCACTCTTGACGCAATCGCCGCTTTTGTTTCATTCGCAATTGTTTCTTATTTTCTTGTCGCGAAAGTGAACTCGAGTGTGTGCGTGTATGGCGAAGACGGCGGCTGTCTCGATGAATGTATTCCGCCTCGACGGTTTTACAAACTCGGATTGTTTGCAAACGACGAATTGTTCGCCACGTGGGCAATTCGCGATTGAAACGCGCCCGAAACCATATTCAGCCTGATTTACCACCAGCAGCTCAAACACACACACACATTACGTACTCAATCCTTACTCTTCAAATATATATTTTTCTCTCTATTCGTTTTTCCTTTCTCTTCTGTTGCTCTTTTTCTTTGGTGGGCGATGGATGGAGAAGATCTAAAGTGATCTGAAAGGAAGAGAAGGAAACGATGATGGAAAATTACCGAAGGTCGAAAATTGATTGATCGAGTGAGCGAGCGAGTGAGTGACCTTTTGGCACCTTCGGCCTGGTGAACGTACGCGGATTCGAAGCATGTAGTCTACGCGCTCGCTCTTTCTAGTTATATAACTTGATTAATCGCGCCGACGGAGTTAACAATAACAAACGTCGATGAAAGAGAAGAAACTACCAGAAACAACCAGAAGCGAAGAGAGAGAGACAAGAAAACCGGTATTCACTAAATGCGAAAAACAACAGCGTAACGAGCTTAAACGTTTCCGGAACTAAACTTCTTTTGTCTTCTTCTTTTGTTTTTTAAAACACATTTTACACGAGAGTATCCAAAACTTTAAAAATGTAACAATTGAATCAAGTTGTAATATTCAAACACTAAACAAGGTTTTCAAAAACTTAAGAAAATCGAAAATTACGTAAATTAACAAAAAATATTTGCTTTCCAATTGGAAATTAATCACGTTGTAAAATCATTTGTTTGTTCCAGACAAACAAAAGAAAAATAAAAACTATATAATTTATTTGGTTACCAACGTTACACAACAAAACGTAGTAGAAGAGAATACAAACAAACTCGTACACCATTATTTACGTTAGTCAAAGTTTGAATAATGAAGGAAAAACCCAACTTTTTTGTATAAATTTACAAATTTATTTGTATTTGTATTTTTATTTAATAAAGTGTCATTAATTGAAGGAAATTTTGTAATTTATTAATTAAAAAAAACGATGAAGTCATTTACTTTTTTTTTAATTTTAATGTCGCAATTAGAAAATATTATTAATAATTGAGTGAAACTCGGAAAATTAAATGGATAAACGTAATTGCTTCACGTCCAATATTCACTTAATCAATTCCGAGATTTATGCGACAGTTTATTGCACATTTCCACTTAATTTATCTGCAAACTTGAACATTTATCACGCATCTTCTGAAACCGTACATAATTTGAAAAGTCATATTAAATTATTGTGGTGAAGTCATCGTCAATTTACAACAAAAAAATATAGAAGAAGAATCGAAGACTTTGGGGAAAAACTCGATGATGATGATGCAAGAAACAATCTAATCTTTCGAATGTTTCCGCGTCTGGGGAAAAGCGAGGTTTTCCGAGGCGAAAAGGTGAAGGAAACCGAGAGCCGAACGCGGGCGGAAAAGAAAGTAAAAAAAAAACAGATGTATACAATATATACACGAGCACTTACACACACATGCGAACGCTCTATGACTCACCTGTATTTATAAATTGCCCAGTCAGGTGCAAATTTCCATTTTTACCGTTGCGGATTTTCTTCGGAGCCGCAGCGCAAAAATCGAAAAGAAATTTATTTCTCTATAACAAAAACAGGTTTTTTTTTTATATATTTGTTTTAACTATTTTTTACCTGTCCAATTGATGGATTTGTCGGGGGGGTTGAGATTTATATCGACTGCTGCGTCGATGTGCGGACGTGGAAAATCGAAGGAAAATTATTGGGTGGCGACATCTGATGGCGTACAATTGTTTTTTTTGTTTTGTTTTAGATGGAAAGAGTCTTCGGGTTTGCATAAACGTACAGCAATTGTTTTTGTGTGTAAGTAATTAATTGAAGACAAACGTAGGCTGCGTTTGAATTTTTGATATGGTGACGACATCTGCAGGAACGCGCTCGAAACTAAGCTTCGAGTTGTAGAAGGACGCTTTATTTTAGTCGTAAAATGAGTTCTTTACGGACGTTATGAAAAATTGACTACTTCTTTAAAAAGACGACATTTCGTCGATTGTTTCGTAACTGTTTTTTTTTCATCTTTTGTATTTATCTTGTTTTTGTATTTAAATTTTTTTAATTCATTTACATTATACATTCAATCCGTTTTGTTTCTTAGCAACGTTAAATGTAATTTATTTATATTATAAGTTTAATTAATGTTTAATAATAAATTTTATAAAGTTTAATAAAATATAAATGTTGGTTTAATGAAGACACTAATTTAATTAAAATAATTTATGTACATTAATAATCAAAGTTGTCCTTTTAATTTATAAATTGTTATTGTAACCGTAAGTTATTTGTTATTGAAATGTTTAGTTTTCGGTGATCGTTAAATATTTTGTTCTTAATTATCAATTAAAAATTGGGGTTTGTGATGCGATGTAAATTAATAAAAGGTGAGGTAAAAATTTTAACGCGCAATATGTTTTTGCAGAGGAATAGCAAGAAACGAAACATGTTTTATGTTAAGTGGTTTCGTTAACGAAAAGTGCACACTTTGTGTAACCGTATTTATATCCATGCGGAAGTGTATAATGGGATAATTATCCACGTAGTTGAATGCGAAAATGCGCACGTTATAATCATCATCCCCCAACCCCAACGACGAGATGGAAAGATGCAGCAGGAACAGGAAGAGGGGGGGAACAAAAAACGAAATAAACACACCTCCGCCGCGCTCCGATTGGCGCAGACGTGCATCTAAGGGGCGGCGCCCGTTAAACCTGTGGGCGTGACTTGGACGCGCCCCTCGTGTTTCGAGTGGTGGCGGCGGTTGTAGATGCGACCGAGATATTAGGGGTGCGATCAAACGACCGCAAATTGACGCGAATCTCAGATCTAATCGTTCTGTCCGGCACACTCACACACCGGAAACCGGCGTTGCAGTGTGTTCGTGTCATGTGACTGCCGGAAGAAGCATCGCCATTTTATTAACGCGCAAAAACAAAAACAAATCAAGATACGAAAGAAATAAAACAACAATAAAAACAAAAAGGAGAATCGCACTACTCACCGCCGTCGGTGATGCAGGATCAGATGCACAAGTCCTTTCTTATTCGGGATCTCCTTGGAGACGTGTTAAACAGTCGGCAACACCAGAGAAGCGGTAAGTTCATAATTCCATCTATTAACAAATCATTAAAGTTAGTAACATCTTTAAAATGTTATCTTTCAAAAATTAATATTTAATAATCTATGAGAAATTAACATTTAAATTAGAAATAATTATTATAATAATTTATAAGAAAAAACAATCATTTTTAATAAAAACATTTTCATAATTTATTTGAAATAAGCAAATAAATAATATTTAAATTATTATAATTTTACCTGGCGCATCCATCAATTTCGAAAAACAACATTTTAGTATCAATTTAATTTTGTTCCTAAATTTCCATCAACATTGAATTAATTACATAGATAATTTTATATAACAATTTATTTTTTTTGTAACAATACAATTTGAGAAATTTAAACAAAAATAAGTTCTTCCTATCAATTATAAATTTTTCCTACTTTGTATCAATACGTATGTAATAAATAAGAATTAATAAATTGTAAATATACAATATTTACGTAATTTTTTTCATTAATTGATCAAATGTTAAATAACTACTTGAATTAGTGATTTTTTTTGCAAATCTACTTATGTTTAATATTAAATATAATATGAGAGATTCAATAGTAAAATTATAGCATAAATAATTTATTTACCCGATGCTTTCATTAAAATATTTATAAAAAGAGTTGTACAATAATAATTGTATCTTATAATAGATTAAATATAAGATTTTAATATAAATAATATTTACTATTACATAAAGGATTACGTAGCAAAATTATGTAAAACAAATATATTCATAATTTTTATACGATATTATAGTAAATAATTAATTGACCCGGCGCATCCACAAAACTACATGTTTCCACAGATTATTTACTTTTCTATTTACAATTGGTATTTACAGTAATAAATATGTATTTTTATGGATTGAATAACTTAATATTTCTCATTGTAAATTACTGATAAAATCTTATATAACTTTTGTATATTGTCAAATAATTGCGGACAAAAACAGTGCTCTATTAAAGTGACAGAAGTTTTGTCAATGATGAAGAGGGTCCGAAATCAACAAGTCGAAAATTTTGCTATTTACATATTCATCGAAGGGTGAAACGTTCCAAATTGATATTTGGAGAGAAAAAAAACAGAAGGGGGCGAATGAAGCGGAAAAAGAGACGAACGTGAAACAAAAGCAGTGTTGCTAAAGCTTTTGTTTCGCTTTGTTTTTGTTTCTTGTTTTCATTCGTCCGCTTTTAAAAGTTGTCGCGAAGGCGAGCACCCACGCGAACACTTGAAGAGCCGAGAACACAAAAGTTAATTGGAATTTCCTAGCAAAAACTAAAACGCGTTGATAAAAAAAAAACAAACGCCGCAAGGAAACAACGGAAGCCTATACTTCCGTCTGCGACGTACGTATGTATGTGCACGGTTTCCGAAGGGGTTTTAGCGATGAAACAAAAGCTTAATTAATGCCCGCGACAGAGCCGCCCTTGACTCGCGTCGTCGCTCCATTCAACGGTAACCCCACCCCGCAGAAAAGTCACGTTCGCGGGACGCCGTCGCGCATATTTTACGCTCGCCACGCAAATTAAGAGGAGGCTGCGAAATGAAAGTGTAGAGGAGAATGGGGTGGCTTGCAGCATCTTAATTAGAGGTGGCCGTGGACTGGGCGATGAAAAGAATGGATGGCAAAAGCGCACAGTGTGTGTGGATGGATGATTATGGTAACGATGATGATGATATGTGTTTCAGATGATCACGAGGACGATGAGAGCGTCGTCGGGCAGGGAGAGGTGAGCGAGTCCGAGTACTTCGGGGGCGGCGCCGGGGAGGGGGCGGTCGCGGGTGTTGGAGGTGGAGGAGTGGGCGGTGGATTGTCGGGGGCGGCAGCGTTGGACGGCTCGAAGGGTCGCAAGCCTCGGAGGCGGCGAACCGCGTTCACGCACGCCCAGCTCGCCTTCCTCGAGCGGAAGTTCCGGTGTCAGAAGTACCTCTCCGTCGCGGACAGAAGCGACGTCGCCGACGCCCTCAACCTCTCCGAGACTCAGGTCAAGACCTGGTACCAAAACAGACGGTAACTATCGCAAAGGATACATTGTACGCCATCTTTTAAGACACCTGTCTCCATACCTTTGAAAGTACTTGACAAGTATTAATACAAGTTACCACCATCACAGAGTACGATGTTCTTTAAAACCAAATTATAAAAAAAATATTTTTCAAATTAAAAGTTCTTATAATAACAATTATTGATAACGTCTAGAAACGTCAAATTAAAAAAAGTGCTTTCATTGACCGAATCGTTTAATTGTAATACGCATTATGCAACCTAATTAACTTAGATTAATAGTATTGTTGCATAATTAATATCGTTTTGATAATCATTGACAGGTAGTTGTTAAATAAAAATTGTCTGCGTGAATTATGCTTTTATATCTGTAGTAATTATTGTTTTCATTTTTTTTAATGAAAGAAACGAAATTCTTTTTTTCGGTGCAATAATTACGAATTATTTAATTGATATTTGTATGTGTTTGTTTCTTACCAGGACCAAGTGGAAACGTCAGAATCAGCTGAGACTTGAGCAGCTGAGGCACCAGGCGAGCGTCGAGAAGGAGCTCCTCACCGCCGGCGGTCTTCGCGCTTCCGGCGGAAACGGCGACGGTCAACCTTGCTGCCCCCAGACGGGCGGCATCCCCAGGTACGGCGCCCAATCGCCCTGCAGTTTCCTCACTTCCGCCGCCGCCGCAGCGGCCATCTTCCACAACGTCACCTACGTTCACGGCTGTCAATTGTAAACACAAAAAAAAAAGATGATGCCAGCAATTGTACATACCCCAATGTAAATAGCGTACTTGATTTATTTTTTCTCTGATCTCGAAAATCCTCGTGAAATTGCAAATTGTAAATACGAATGTTTCTATCCTCACTAATTTCGTTGTATAATAAAAATTAAAATGTGTACAAAGCATGCGGTTAATTATTACGCTTTAAGTTTACTCATTTCCTTGTTTTATTTTCTAATCGTAACTTGTTGATTGGTCTATTACTTCTGTTGAATATGTTTTTCAATTTTATAAAATAAATAAAACACAAAAACAAACTATTAATTTCTTAATACTTTACCTACATTCATTAATCAGTTTTTCAGCAGCAATTGAATTGTTTTGTCATTGATGGTTGAAGGTAAGTTTTAAGATCTCAATTTGTTTTCAACAATCCGAAAATATTACAATCATATGAAAAATGTCATAATTATTGCCTATTTCAATAATTGTTCATATTAATTATGAAAATTATGAAATGTCAAATTTGTCGACCATTTTGAAACAAAAGCCTTCTCGATTAGTGATCTTTTTTATAAATTTCCAATGCAATCATGATTTATCAGACTAAATCGATTAATTTCAACACGAACTTCTGCAAAATGTAAATATTTAATAACTGAGTGCATTTCACTAAACGCAAATAGAGAGGAATCATTCGAACGTGAATTTCCAGCGACGGTAATGTTGCGAGAATACCTCTGAACCAGGTTCGAAGTTCAATTGGGCGCAAACATAAAAATGCTGAAAAACCGAACGTCAGAAACACCGAAGTGCAGCGAAATGAAGAAGAAAAATAATACACGAAACAAATAAAAAAATAAAACGCGCTCCATCTCTCATTAAATTTTCTCTCGAGCATGGCTCTTCTCAATCCACCGAATCCCACCACCCCATACTCGCGTGGAAAATGCGCGATTTTCTCCTTCCATTGCTTTTCCTCCTCTCTTGTGTTTTGTTTATTTTTTTTTATATTCGCTCTCCATTCATGTACGTACGCGTTTCCCCCGCATTATCATCATCATCATCATTATTATTATTATGATTTCAGCGTTTTCGCTGCGCGGGATTTAAAAGCGGGAATCATTTCCGGTAACTAAACCGGATGCGAAACGCAACGGCGCACGAAATCGTTGCAGTTTTATTCCTGCGCTTCAATCCCACAATTTTTTATCTTCGCATTCATTCCCGCATTCATAGCGCCCTTCCACTCGTCTGCATCTAAATAAAATGCATCCCCTTTTTGCACCATTTTTTTATTCCACATTTATTTTTATAGATCAGTAAATAAAAAACACATCCCTTTCAATTCCATCTCCATACATTTTTTTTTTAAGCAAATACATTTTATTAAATTATAAAAAAAAAGATAAATATTAAAACCATTTTGAAACATCCATTAATTTCTGTAGTAATTTTTTCTTACTTATTCGTAATTAAGATCAATTAAGATCTGTAAATAAAAATAGAAAAAAAAAATAATTAAGTCATAACGTTTTTATTTGTAAAAATTAAAGTTATAAACTAAAATTAATTAACAACTGTTGCTAGGGATTATCGTTTCCAAGGTTTCTATTATTTCTTTCGTGCTGGGTCGTTGCGAGGGCTCAGATTTCCAGCAGCTTCTGTACAGATTGTCGTAATCGCTTGGATGCGCGTCCGGATTTTCCGACGGTCGAAGCCGATATTTCACGACCTTTTACAAATAAATATAATTTTAGATAATAATATATAAATAACAAAAACTTACTTTGTAAATGACAACGAATTTGTTGTGGAAATCCTTGAAGGGAATCTCGCGATGCTTCAGCTGCCAAAAGAGAACGCCCAGCGAGTAGACGTCGGCTGGAAAATCCGGTTTTCCGCCGGCCAAAATCTCCGGTGCCGTGTATATCACTGTTCCCTAGCAACAGTAAAAAAATTGATAATAACGTTATTTATTGAATTGTTGCTAATGGTTACTTCATGCGTATAATTATCCTTATCATTGCGATCGCAAGAATTTCCAAAATCGCATATTTTACAGCTTCCGGTCGCGGTGAGCAAAACGTTCTTCGGCTTCAAATCCAAATGCATCAGATCGGAATCATGACAGAATTTCAATCCGCTCGCAACATCCAAAGCGATTCTACAAACATCAATAATTGCTCGTTCATCATCCAAAACTGCCTGAAGTTGTCGACAGTTATCTAAATATTCCATGATGACGATGGAATTTGAATCGCTTTCAGTGATAACATCGAAAATGCTGATTACATTTTTGTGCTTCAATCCGAGCGCGTTCAACTCCTTCAATTTCTCCTTAGTTTTAATCACTTTCACCGCAACAATTTTATCTGCAAAATAAAATTTTCCAACTTCTCAATTCAAAAGAAAATTAAATTTTCTTTACCTTTGTGAATCCCTTTGACAACGGTGCCGAAACTCCCTCGACCCAGCACCTTCAGCTTCTTGCAATCACTCAAACCGTCCCTCAAGATACTCAACTTCTTCGGCGTGTTGATTACCAGCAACCTTTTGTTGCTGCTCGAATCCTGTTCATCTGCGTAGTTTCGACCGTTTATCGTGATCCGGCATTGAATATTCTCCCGTTTCGGCTTCGGCGAATAATCCAATCTTCCTACTAACGATCTGCAGGTAATTGAAAACATTAAAAATAATCGATTCGATAATCATTAAAAGATTCGTACCTTTTCACGTTCGGAGATAAACCCCTCACAATCCTCGGACTCACCGCCAAACATTTGATTGGAGTTGCCATCTTCACCAGTCGAAACTTCGCTTCGAACTGATTGCTTATCACCAAAAAGAAATATTTCACATTTATTCATTTCTTTTTATCGAATTTCTTTACTTTATCACTGTTTCCAACAATTACAATTTGACGTTTTATTAATGTCACTTGATATTCTGTTGTTATGGTGATATAACAGATTTACAATTTGACGTTTTATTAATGTCACTTGATATTTCTGTTGTTATGGTGATATAACAGATTTACAATTTGACGTTTTATTAATGTCACTTGATATTTCTGTTGTTATGGTGATATAACAGATTTACAATTTGACGTTTTATTAATGTCACTTGATATTTCTGTTGTTATGGTGATATAACAGATTTACAATTTGACGTTTTATTAATGTCACTTGATATTTCTGTTGTTATGGTGATATAACAGATTTACAATTTGACGTTTTATTAATGTCACTTGATATTTCTGTTGTTATGGTGATATAACAGATTTACTTAATTGGTATTAATGTCCTGTATATTTCTGTTGTTATGGTGATATAACAGATTTACAATTTGACGTTTTATTAATGTCACATGATATTTCTGTTGTTATCGTGATATAACAGATTTACTTAATTGGCAAAGTTTCGCTGTATATTTCTGTTGCCAGGGTGATTTGCACACATTTACTTAATTGACAGATTAGCACGTCAAAGTTTTGATGTTTCGTGTCGGTTCTAATTCGCTTTATCGTTTTGTCCATGATTTTCGGAGGGTTGTTGTAGTGATGCTGCTAACAATATATATATGTATTCACAGTCCAACCCTCGACACGAACGATCGGAATGGGATTTGTTTGAATGCACAATGATGCTGCGGGGGGGTCGGAGAGTTAAATAACAAATAATTGGCACCGTTTCGAAAACCATCCACCCTCCTCCACCGTAACTTCACGAGCCGCTTTCAATGAGCGCCAATTTGCGCTCACAACACACTCGCACATTATCGCCGAATAATAACACACTGCTGCTGCTGTTGCTGCATCCGATACAAAAATACAAATTTACTACTATTCGTTCACTTCCCTCCAATTACCAATTCATTTGCCCCTAATTGACCGGAAAACAATTGATTTTTATCCTCCGCACAAGGCCAACCGCCGCCCTCTTCTCTCATCTGCTTACATTCTACAGTTGCTATTCTTCCGAAGACCCCTCACAAACAAGCTAATCATCAGTTAAATAATACGTTTTTTTTCTTTTCTATACAGATTTAACGAACTGAACACGTATTTATAACATTATTCCAACAAACCTCATACATTTCCCCTCAAATATATTATTTTGTAACTAATCCTAACTTAATCAATTCATAGTTAATGACTTGGCCATCATCATTCACTAAATATAAAAAATAAACTTAGATTTTACCTAATTTTGGGACAGATCAATTTGACGTTTCCATTAATCAATTGTGATTGGTTGATTTGCGTAACTGACACATCAGCTGATTGAAATAATAATTAAATCGTTATGTAACCATTTAACGTTCGAATTGTCAAATAACGCGTACTGACACTTCTTTTCGGTAAATGCAACTTCATCTAGAAAGTCATTAGTTACGTAAGTAACCATAAATAACAAGTGAAGTTGGTGGACATTTTTGAACGACGCTCTTTTGCAGTGACATAATCAAAATAAATTAAGTAAATTGTAAATGAATGTAATTAGAAGGAAATAAATTTGTTTTAAAATCAAATTGAAAAGAAAAATACTTAGGTAAGTGTACAAATATATTAAGATGCAAAAACTATAGTTTTAGATTTTCTTTTAAATCTGACGTTTTCATCGAAACTGTATTATTAACTGCATGTTGATTTTCTGTTGTTCCGTTGTTCATTTGTCGAAATATTCATGGCTTATGCAAATCGGACTGAGCGGATAAGTGCAAGAAGTATTCACGGGAGATGATGCGGTTTCTGAAATCTTCTGCAAAATCCAAGTGATCCGCCTTCAATGGTAAATCATTAGTTGAAGCAGCGAACGAGATATGAGTTTCTCTTTGTTTTACCTTTTGTTTTTATTATTATTATTATTTCGAGTAATTAAAACGTTGCTTTAAGATGAGGAAACGAAACGAAAATAAGTGTAGATAAAGAGAGAGAAAGAGTGAAGTGAAAGAGGGCGAGACAAACAAACGAATTCGTTTGAATGGATGAATGGTTGATTAAATTGAATGACCACTTCCTTGTGACTCGACTCAACTGTCAATTATTTTCCTGTGGCGATTCTCTCTATTTTTCTCCTCTCTCTTCTGCATTCGCTCTTTGCGTTTGATTGGGGACACGAGTGGATGAAACACACGACGCAAATGGGATAAAGAATGTGTGGACATGGGAGAGACAGAGAGAGAGAGGAAAATTGGATTGGGTGAGAGAAAAAAAATTGCGTTTGCCGAAGGAGTAGAAACGGGGAAATAGTTAAAGGGATGACGATGATGATGATAATAATAATGGAAGGTTCGAGAGAGCGATTTTGTTTTTTATTTTTGCATTTGCAGGACCCTGCGGGAGTCCTGCGTGTCGAGTGTCCTCGCAACGGGGGTACGGAGGAGGGTGTCCTCACTCACTCACTCACTAACTCCATCTCGCTGTAACTCACATTTTTGTGTTGTTCTATATTTCTTTTTCTCTCTTTTACTCTGGCGATTCTCGACCAGGGAGAAGATTCACGCATATAATAAACCCATTATATTTCGAGGACCTTTGGCCAACGTCCTCCCAGCTATAAGAACTCAAGCTCCCTACACCCCCAAATGCTTTTTGACATACGTCAATTGGTTTTGTTATTTCGGACTCTTTTTTTTTCTTCTTTTGTGTGTATGTGTTTGGGGAGACTTCGTTAAAACACGCACTCATAATATAATGGTCAGAAAGCTAAGTGTACTACAACAGCAAAGAACGAGTTACAAAATATCTAATATCCTTAGATTTCAATTATTACATAATAACAATATTTCCATTATTTCAGCCATGTTTTTTTGTAAATGACAGTAGTACTTCACTAAACGTCATTTATTAAACAAAACTAATTTCTTCATTGTTTTTATTACAAATTTGACGTTTCCCTTTGCATTTGTTACGCGTCGTACCAATGGTAATTTGTATATTTACGTAACTGACACATAATGAAGTAATACGTCAAATAAGTTTGGTTAATTAAAATCTAGGACAAATGTTGTTTTAATTTATTTTTAATTTATAAAATGTAAGTATTTAATTATTCACAAATTATTTATTGTATAAAATAAAACAATAACAAATGACAAATTGTGTCTTGTTTTTACAAAATGTCACTTTGACATTTTAAATTTCAATTCGTGTATATTTGAAGTCAATTTGTCACATCAAGTTTATCTACTTATTGTTTATTAGATATCAATAAAAATATAAATCTATTAGAGAAATCTGAATTCCAATACTTTTTACAGTGGAACCTCGCTTAACGAGTTTAATTCGTTCCAAAATTTCCGGATTTTTACTCGTATAATGAAATACTCGTGTAGTGAAACATATTCAAAAATACACATAATGTGTGTACACAAATTTTAAAAATGATGTAAAAGGCGCGCAATTCACTTTGCTCGTTTGGCAAAGATTTGACTCGTTAAGCGAGGTTCAACTGTATATTATTTTCACAAAATGTCACTTTGACATTTTAACACTCATTCGTGCTTCATTGAAGTAAAGTCTAGTCATTATTATGCCGTGAAAATTATTAATTAAAACGTAAATTATTTTTTGTAAATAATATGCTGTGCGTATTTATTAATTTTTTTTCAGATTTTATTGAAATATCTCAAATTAATTGTTTACAATTAATAATAATAAACTTTATTAATACTATATTGATTTATATACAAAAAACAAAATACGTAAACAATTTAAAATTAATTTCAGTAACAAAATATTGGAAATGTGATCTTTTTTCCTCCAATAATTTGAATTATTTGCTTAATTTTAAACTTGGTTAAAATTTAAAACAAACTTTTGTATTCTCCTATAATTTCTATTTCCTCGTTTTTTTTTTAATTTAGGTTATTTTCCACCTTTTTCACTATTTATTTACATGTCCAGCTCTTCTATTCTAAGCTGTATTTATTAATCCATTTTTTAATAATTTCAGGATTATTTCAAATTAATTAAGACCTAATCTGTTTTGAGTATTAAAAATTAGTATAAAAAAATACTGATTAGAAATGTTCTGTTTATTACATTGGTCTGTATGGCATGTTCGACAACCGAAAGACCGTCTATTGAAATCCCGACTATATCAGAATCTCGACAACCATAATCCCGACTATATCGAAAATTTTTACAATAACAATTTTAACATTTATTTGATTTTGTTGAATTATTCATAATAAACCTTAACGTTATGAAATAATCTGAAATAAAATGTTATTGTAGACATTTTCGATATAGTCGGGATTTTGATACAGTTTTAATATAGTCAGAATTTTGATATAGTCGGGATTATGGTTGTCGGGATTTCGATACAGTCGGGAATTTGATTGACGGTATTTCGGTTGTCGGGCTTGCAATTGCCACCGAATTGTTATTCATTATGTAATAATTAAAAAAAACGAAATTCTTGGAGATTTCGACTGGGTTTCAACCCAAAATATATTTTGACATTTCAGTAATTTGATTAACAAATTTAAATATATTAATTTTAAAATTTAGATGTTCTTTGAAGTAAAGTCCAGTTATTATTTTGACTATTTGGTATTGCGATTTTTGTGTAAATGTAACAGTTGAAATTGGCAAAGATTTGACATGCATATCGACGGAGGCATTTTTTTTTTCCTCTTTTGTTTTGTTTTAGGTTGTTTTGGGTCATCATCCCTCCACCCCGAAAAGAAACGTGTACTTTGCATCCGCTCTCGGTATAAGTGAGCTATTACTGAATGCAAATCGCAGCGAGAGCAGAAGGGAAAATGTATATATACATTTGTTATTCATACGAATGTGAATCTCGGAAAACGACTCGCCTTTCCAAGCAGCCAAATGATGATGGAAGGAGAGGAAGAAGAGATGGGCGTGTTCGTGATGAAGACAGAGATGGAGAAGGTTTTGGAGCGGTGAAAGATTGGATTGGATTTTACCCTCTAGTTATGTACAGCAATTAACATATCATTTGAGTGTGTTTGTGTTCGTTATTTCCAGTCGGGGGCCTTCGAATGGCAGGCATCTCGCATAATGGGCCTTGATTGGGGACCGGCACGGGGTAATAATTCAAAAACAACCCTCGAGCCCGACCTACAACCATCACCACCACCACCCACAATCATCATCATCTCTCTTTCCCACGCACACCAAAGTCGGCATCTCTCCGTCTCTCTTCCAATTACCTCGCCGCTCCATCCCCCTTTCAGCGACTGTCTTTACGCCGCAAACCCTCTCGATGGCCTGATTTATCTCCTATTCAGTGTAATAGACGCTAAATTACGGAAGTTATATCTGTGCTAGCGCAATCACCGCTACAACGTTTCCACCCTTACAATAATTACACCCGCACCAAAGAAATAGAAATTACGAAATAGTCATTAGCAGCAGCTTTAACAATTAATAAACACATTTACGTTGCTACGTTACATAATTATTACAATCACCATAACAACAAACAAATTTGCAATTGTTTCGAGTTTTAAACTTTTTATTTTTGAATAATATTAATTTCTGAAACTTATACTTAAGTTTATACTTAAGCATTGAATCGTAAATAATTTTTGTAACTCATTATTTTACAGTATTACAATGTAAATTAATTACGTATTTCATAATTAATTACTGAAGCTGTTGTATCATAGACAACCGTTCGCACATTTAAGATAATTTGACTTAATTATGGTTTAAAATCGACGCAAAAGAAGCACATTAATTTAAAATATGAGGAAATCCATTTGATTGTAAGAAATAATGTAATTAAAAGTAATTATTATTGATCCAAACACTGATAATTTTAAATTTAAATTTTTTGGTTAATCTAACTTATGCAACCAACATAACTAATCACAGGAAAAACATTGTGTGTTACAAAAGAGGTTATAAAATATCTCAAAATCAAAGAAAATATGCTCAGATTAACACTAAATTGCATTAACTCAACAAACAGAGGTAAGTGATTGATTTGCAACAAGTATTCGTTTATAAATTAAAAATATAAATTTGTAGGTTGTTGTACTGCGGCTACTGGAAAATGGGACCTGATCACAGCAGTCTGCTTGGAGCGGAGACCAATCATTGGACCAGAGATGAGTGATATGGAAAAGCAATTTAGCAAGCAGCTGAGTGAAATTGAATTGGAGAGAAGTCATAAGTCCAAGCACGAAGTCGAGCATGAGAAAGATCTGTATGTGTTGAATAAGTATTGTGAGATTCGTTTAGTGAGTTTTATTTATAATTAGAAAGCAGCTGGAGTTGATCAAGAGGGGTGACGTCGATGTTGAGGTTAATTTAAAGCAGACCGCACAGGATTTTGCTGATACCAGTTTGGAGGAGCTGAACAAATTCAAATTCGCTTCTAAACAATCAGGTAAACAATGAAACGAAGCGTTAATTGGATTTTATTTGGTAATTAATATTTAAGATGATACAAATGTTAAGTCGTTGAATCGGAAATTGGATAGGCATTTGGTGCTGTTGACGCAGCAGAAGGTTGGAAACGATACGTTCTTTTTACCGCCGCAGGGATTCAGGCAGGACGGGGAAACTTTGAGACAGGTCTTATTTGTTACACTTTATTGGATTGTTGGTGTTATTTTAATGATTTTGTAGACTGCTGAGAGGGTGTTGAAGGAGTCTGTTGGAAAGGACGTGCAGGCTCAGATCTACGGAAACGCTCCGACCGGTTTCTACAAGTACAAATATCCGAAATCCGTGCGGGAAGTCGATGGAAATTCGGTAGGTGCTAAGGTTTTCATATACTTCGCGAGGTACGCGAACGGATCGCCATCTGTGAGTCACAAATGGTTGGACAGGGAGGAGTTAAGGAAAGAGTTACCTGAGAAGTACAGCCAATCACTGGACGAGTTTCTAATTGACGAGCAGTAATCAATTTCTGTTCTAATTTTCATTTATTCAAACAACAACAACAAAAGAAAAAACAATAAAAACAGCAATAATGGTAACTTAAGAACACACAGTTACAAGTAGCAACTCATTCATCAATCTGTACATTCGTTCCAAATATATTTATATATATATATAGAGACATACTACAACAGATCTTTCTTCCACCTTTCATCCTCCTGTTCACTAACAAATCTTCGTTATATTTTTTTATTGTAAATTATTTACGTACAAAAATTGTTCACGAAATTTCTTGTGCGTGTGCGCTCAGTTTCATTATAACTCGCTAATTACAATGTTAATAATAATAAATATCTTTTTTATTATTATTATTTCTTGGATAACAATCAATGCGTGCTACTAAATATCACAGCCGCCGACTAAACTAACACCTCTCAATCTTTATACCTTCACTGATCTTAACAACAACAACAAAGGAACAAAATTAATTTGTCATCCTTTCCATTACTTAAAAGTATACATATTTCGATGTGCGTTATGGTTACGATAACAAACGAATACTGTAATTATCAGCGTTCTCTAGATTCGTCAAAATTAAACAAAAATAATAAAAAAACGACGATCGCAACGCAACGTAACGTACTACAAATAAATCAGTCTTTGAAATAATTAAATCTATAATATTTCTAAAAAATAAATAATAATAACGATATTAATCAACAATTCTCCTAATTAGCATCGAAGCAATTAAGATTTTTAATAAATTTCTTAGGCACATTTCTCATTACACTCTAAATATATATATTTATATACTTATATTTTAATGATTTTTCTTCATTACAAATAAAAAAAAATCAACATTTTTTGGGGATTATTATTTGTTTGTTTCTTTCTATTATTACCATGTAATTCAATACGCCGAGCTTTTTTTTTTTCGAATTTCTCGACTCGAGTACGTGTGATTGCCATTCATTAACATCGGATATGATTCGTTTAACGTTGTCTTGTTTTTATTTTCAATTTTTTTTTTCCGCTTTACATCCACTTTAAGCTTCGATTAAAACAGAAAATTATAACGCTTAATCACTAATCAATGACTCCTTCCCTTACTTACTTTACTTACACAATTAGTATATCATAAAAAAGTGGACGTAATTGTTTTTTTTTTACTTTCTTTCCCTTGCATATCTTTTTTTTTATTATTATTTTGATTGTTTCTTCTTGTTAGTAGATCATGTATATTAAAAGTTCGCTTCAAATACTTGTACTTTGCTCGTCGGTGTGCGAACGTAAGTTGAAAAACTGCTATATAATTGGTTTTGTTTACGTATCTCTTTCAGCTTAGTCTTTACGTGAATGTCTCAAGATTTTTAGTTCTTAATTTAATTTTTATATATATAATTTTTTTGGAAGAACAGACGTTCGAAAATTTTCAAATTTATTGGCACGTTCGTTTTGTGCGCGTTTCATTTCTAACGCGTATACAGGGTGCAATTCTGTTACAATTAGTTTAACGATCCAGAACTTTGCATTTTGTTTTTTTTTTTAATAATGACAATGACATTGTCAAATTAGATTAATATTACTGCATCATTTACAATATTCGGAATATTCTTTTCCTAAATATAATCGGACTTTCCGCTTTCAATCATTTAGCTTTTACTGAACCGCATTCATTTTTTAAAACTCACCTACATTTATCAACGATTTCTTCGCAGTTTTGACACGCAACGAAAATTGTTTGCGTCACTCATCACAGCTTTATTTACTGGTTGCTATGGATATTGATCAGAAAGTCGAACCGTAAACGGGAAATTAACGGGATTTTTTAACTGAACCGTAACTGTAACCGGAACGAAAAATTGCTCAATTGAAAAACCGAAACCGGAACGAAAAATTGCTCAATTGAAAAACCGAAAGCATATAAACAAACAATTTTTTTTCAAATAAACAAATACATAATAAACAAAACCATCAATGCTGAATTCCATGGGAACGCTTAATAATCAATATAAATGAAGCCTCAATCAACTATAGTCTTGCGCAACTATCATTAGAACAAACTCAAATGAACGTGTTTAAAAAGGATATTACTGTGCATGTGTTGAACTAATTCAGGTTTATTTTTTTGTATTTTCAATATTATAATTGAAAACAGAGGTAAGAAGGGAATTTGGTAAATAAAAATAAACCAAAATTTGACTCAATTTAAACTAATTATTTAGATTGCTTTTTTTCAATTTTAAATTTTAATTTCAAGCGGAACTGAACCGAAATTTTTTAGACGAACCGAAACCGAATCTGGAACAATAAACATTTACTTGTAACGTAACCGTAAACCGGAACGAAATAATTAATTTCGGTTCGACTCTCAGATCTTGATATTGCACTTGACGTATTTTCATATAAACGTGATACAGATGAATTGTTTTGCGCGAACGCACGTTTTCGTACACGTAAATTAATTAATTGTGACTGTGCTTCAGTTCATTTTGTAATTGTAAAGAAGGAACGTAAATATATATATATTTTTCTTGAAATGCTCCACGCCCGCTCCGCTTCAATTCTCTCTTACTGTAGCTTAAGGCACCAAGTCTTAAAGGCACGAGCCCAAACAATATACTATTGTATTCGGAAGGACGGCAACTTAGAGAAGAGGACCATTAATAACAATAATACGGGGATCCTCCGGAGGTCACTGCAAGAATAAAGAAGGCCATGGAAGGTTCTTTGAGATATTTGTTTTCTTCGTGAGAGCCGCGCGCGGAGCTGTAGTAATCAAGCACCCTGGATCACGCGTTCTGAGACAGTTTCGCTGATTGCATAATCGAAAAGAGATGGAGTTGCACACATAACTCACTATTCTTTTCTGTTTTGTTTCAAGTAGACTTAATTATTATCGTATAAAAGGGAATACCTGATCGGCGATGGTGTTTCCTCGGATTTGGCCTTACATTTCCATTACTTTTTGTTTGTTTGTTTTGTTTTGGCGTTAATAAACCTAATAATATATAAACAATATTTATCCTCTGGTTTCACTCTAATTCGATTATCGTCAGGTGCGGTGAATCGGAGCGATGAAAGACGATTCGTTTTGTTTCTTCGCTCCGATTTTGCTTCTTGTTCGCTTGTTTCTATAGATATCATGGGGTGCTCTGACTTTGGTTCGTGCTGTTCGTGTCGTCTGTGTCGCTCTCGCAGGAAATGACGAAACGGGGTGGCTGCAGAAGAGGGGTGGTGGGTGTTGGCCCGGGGGCTGCGGCGAGCACCTCGAGAGCTGGCGGAAGTACGTTGTTCTGGAACGCACCGGAAATGTTTCCGGCGGGCGCGTAGTGGGCGACGACGACGATCTTTCCGGATCTCGAGCGAGCTTTACCAACGCCGAAATGTCTTGAACTCGCCCACGCCAATTGCGTAAAATGACCTACAAAATAAATTCAATTTTTCTAAATAAGTCAAAAATCTTTTCGACTGTCAAAAAAAATGTGGATACGCCGTTTATTAAGAAAAGGTGAATGCGCAAGGTTCATAGTAACAACAATTGTCTTTTGTGAAAGCAGATATGAAAATGTAAGTTTGCGTAGAAAATTACTGGTTGCTATGGATATTAATCAGAGAGTCGAACCGGATACGAACCGTAAACCTAATTTACCGAACCGAAACCGAACGAAATTATACCGGATTTTTACTGAACCGGAACGAAAATTGCTCGAATTGAAAAACTGGAAACCGGAACGAAAAATTGCTCAATTGAAAAACCGAAACCGGAACGAAACCACCGACTAAAAAGAGAAAATTTTAAAATGAAAGTGATTAAAAGGATATTACTGTAAACATGACTGAAGGAACATTACAAAGTGCATGTGTTGAACTAGTCACTAATTCAGATTTATTCTTTTATATTTTTTTATAATTAAGTTCTAAATAAGTTAAAAATCTTTTCAACTGTCAAAAAAAATGTGGATACGCCGTTTATTAAGAAAAGGTGAATGCGCAAGGTACATAGTAACAACAATTTTCTTTTGTGAAAGCAGATATGAAAATGTAAGTTTGCGTAGAAAATTGTTTGTATGTAAAATTATTGCACAAATTATTCAAATGTGTCAAATTACGTTGATAATTAATGGCGACAGTTCAATGCAATTACATTTCATTTGTTTCTTGGCGCAGCACTAAGGTCACAATTAAACGGTGTAATGGATTTGCTGTCAGAGAGCAAGGCTCACTTTGAATTTATTTTAATTGAAATTCCAGCGCAATAAAACAAGTCTTATCTTGTGTGCGTGTCTATGGAAACGTGTTACTTTGATATAAGTAACTGCATTTGACGCAACGTGAGTGTGTGTGTATATATAAGTGTTTAATTTACGATTCGCCGCAACGTTCGTTCTGCATATCAGTCTGACAAGTTAGGAAAAGTTTACATTTGATATATGCGAGAAGAAAAAAAAAGAGAAGAAAAAGAAACGAGCTCGTTATCCGCCTTTACCTGCATTCACGTTCGCGTGCAACACGTCCGGCTCCTTGCCGTAATCGTACTGCTTCACAGCGCTATACCAATATGTGGAAACCTCTTGTCCTGTGCGAAGAAAGAAAGGGAGAATAATTAACAAAATATATATTATTCATTAGCCTTTGGTAACGTGCATTAGAATTGTTATAATTATTCAGAATCTCAGCGAAGCTTTTTTTATGGTTACGTTACGTTCGTAATTGTTTTAGCTTTAAATTTAAAAATCGCTGCGGCTTATATTAACAATGATTCTAGTAACCATAGGAACGACTACGATGGCGTCCTTAAAAATTATAACAACCATTTAAGAATCTATATACATTCTTGAAACTGAAACAATTGAAATTTCTGTTCTATTTTATGTAGTGCATTGAAATTGAGTTAATCCATTAAATTTGGAAGTGCGGATTATAGTTTGATTTATTACGGCAGCAGAAGCACCATCTGCAAGCTTTTATGCTATGCTGCGGCGTGTTCGCACGGCCGCAAAGTCGTAATCAATTTTTCAATATGGAAGTTTGGAAACGTAATAAAAAGGATGAGAGAGATGAGAATCTTTTCTGCAAAGAGGATTTTGTTTTTTATGTTTTTTGAGGAATCTAATCAAAGTATTAAGTAAATTTCATCGTTGAGAATGCAATTAAAACTTGTCTCATGACACTTTTCATATCCATGACAAGCAAAAATCTTAATTTATCCACTGATTGCCATTCCAAAGCTCATCTCCTTAGCAACTGTTGGTTGGTTACCTGTGACATCGTTTTGCAGGGCATTGTCCGGTCTGCAGAAGAGGTTTTGCCCTATATCCTTGTCGTTCCTGTAGTAGAATCTGTTGGTGTGTGCCAGATGGTTCGCCCAGGTTTGCGCCAAATGACAGAGCTGCAGGAAAATCGAAAATAAGTTATTTAATATATCGAAATGACGATTGAAATACCTCCGAAGACATGGTGAGCGGCGGTGAGTTGTGTCTCTGTCTGTACACGTTGTGCCAGCAAAGGCTGTCGGTGATGAAGTCACTATCCTGCCAGGCAGTTCGAATCTCCGAGCTGTCCAGAACCATGCTGACAGGTCGATTCGATAATATCTAAAAACAATAAACATCATTAAAACTAACAAATCGTTTGTCATATTTGACACATTTGACATTTGTAAGTTTCGACAAAAATTGTCATAATTACGTAATTTTACTTTGACAGTGAAAACGTCATAACATAATGTCAACGTTTGGATTTCCAGTTTCCCCTGCATTCGTGTTAATTAATAATATTGAGGCGAGAAAAAAAAAGAGCGCTGCCAGGTCGTATTTATTTATGTATTCTATTTATTTTTTTTTTCGTTGTCACTTTTCACCTTGACATTTCCGCCGCACGAAATTCCGTTTTGCAAATACTACCGCAAAGGTGAAGAGATACACCCAGTCCGCACGCGATACATCTTACACGTGATCATATATTAACAAAACAATACAAAACATTTTGCTTTGCATACAACCGTACGTACGTAATGCGAACGATTTCGGAGGTAACAAATTGTAGCTATTTTCGGATGATATCGCAAAAATAGAAGGAAAGGGGAGAGTGAAGCCAATTAATCAAGTTCAAATGTACATTTAACGACGACCGAAACGAACGTTTCGTGCGCCGTCTGCCTTAACTAAACTAACTAAATCATCGACGTAAAGCGAATCGTGTTTATGCATAATAATAAGAATTCCTTTTGGCGTGTCTCTAGCTACAGATAAATTGTATATACATATAAATTCAATTCCAAAAGAAACGTGACACCGTTAGAAGTAGTCTTCAACTGTTTATATCGATAGCAAATGGAAATAAAATAGACGATATATTAATTCAATATCAGATGAAATTCGATATCAGACGAAACTATGAATTAACTTCCAAAAACTTAATTTTTAACATAAATTAAACTGATAATAAATTGAATTAACAGACAGATTTAATCAATTGATTAAAAATGATTCATTCGCACTTATACTTATTGATATTGATTATAAGAAACACCACGAGTTTTGCGAGTCGAAATATATAGATTAGTTTCTACGACTATCTAATCAATGTCTTCAATATAGCTTATAATAAATATTGCGAACTAATGAACATTTCATAATTAATAGTGTATGTTAATAAACTTGTATGTAATTGTTTTATTACAGTTATAGATAATTTAATGACAGTTACGTAATAATTGTTATTGCAATTTGTATGCAGAGTCTAGATTTAAAAGGTATGTTAAAGTCTAATTATTATTATAATGTTAAGGTATTGGCGTTTCAGGAATTATATAAGTTTTTACTTATTTCAAAAAGAAAACTATTATTGAATTTTATATAACAATTTGAAAAGTTGGATAACTGTTTCTGGTTGCTATGGATAATGACAGTTGTGTGATGCTTATTATTTAAGTATTTAGTGGCTGCGTGCTTTTCTTGGAGTCGGGTATGTTTTAATTAATATTATTATTTTTGTGTTAGAATGATTAATTAATTGCTGATGTTTTGAAATTCGTAATTCGTTGAGATGATAAATTTCTTTATAAAACATTTTCGTTAAACGATTGTGTTTTATTTTCGATGACAGTCGGATGACAATTAATGAGTGAAACAATTGAAATGTAAGTTGTGTTGCTGATTGCGGTATTTATCGTCGTGAATGTTGTATATTAAGGAAACCTAATAGCGGTAATTACCGGCGTGCGACAGGAAATTGCACGAAATGCGGTAAAACGCGTTAAGGAAATTGGATCGCATGTGACATTTGGAGAGTTTTTTGACGAGGTTGATGATGGTAATGATGATGTTGTTGATGATGATGATGATGTTCACCTTTTGCAGGAGGTGCGGACGATTGTCGAGCTGCAGATCGTTGGCGTTTCTGTCGGCTGCGGCCGGCGCCGAGGAGGAAGCGTTAGAGGAAGTCGCCGTGACAACGGCATGGCCGGTATTGAGCCGCAGCTGGTGGACGCGTCTCCGTAGGTTCTGCAGAGCACGTGCCTCTTCCTTCCGCCTGCTGGGTTGATAGTGAGTCGAGTTGGGAAGCTGCAGGAACTGCGGCTCCGGGTTGGCGCTCAGCACCCTCTGGCTGATAGGCGTTCTCGAGCTGTTGTTAGATGGAACGGGGACGACGACCACAGCCGCCGTCGCCGAAGAGGAAGGAGAAGAAGTTTGCTGTGGAGGCGGCGGTGGCGGCGGCGACTGCTGGCAAAGAGACGTTTGCGAAGAGAAACGCGGAAAGTTCATTGCCAGGCAGCAGCATCCCGATTGATGCCGCCCCCAACGACTGCCGGTAACCTGCAGGGATGGTGGAGCAGCAGCAGCGGCGGCACCGGTCTCGGATAGACTGACGCAGTTCGAGGCGGCATCGGCATCGCCGTGGCCGTGTTCGCCGCCGCCGGTCGATAGGATTCTGCAGCATGCGCGAATTGCATGAATCTCAGCCGTTCCAACTCTCGCAACTTCAACTCAAAACACACACACAATACTAAAACTTACCAAAAGATTCTCAACGAAAAACACACAATATTAATTATAAAAACAATCTAAATTAATCGACTTACTTACGCTTTTGGTTTCCAGCAAACCTTAAAACCAAATATTTCGCCAAAAAGCAAACCTGTCACAAGCAAATCACCGTCGGCGGTCAGAAAGGCGCAAAAAATAACGCTTTTCAAAATTTACGAAAACTTTTACAAAATTTTGCAACGATTTACTGTAAACCTCGACCTATGTCAATGCAGTAGTGACTGAATCACATTTAGAGTACTGAATAGGTGCGCACGTTGCACAGCAATCTCTTCCTCCTTGATCACCTAAAATCGTTAACCGGTGAAATCATTTCAGAAAAAACGAAACAAACTTAAAAGATTAACAAAAACAATTTATTATAAACAATTAACATTCCACATGATCACAAAGACATAACTGATTCTCACTTAAGTTTCCATAGGTACAATTAGTTAAAAACTCCATAGCTTTATTAAAATAATTGAATTTTGATCGTGTTCATTACTGCAATAATCAAATTTAATTTTCAATTAATAATTTGAATCACGAAAACAAATTCAATTTTTTTCAATTTTTGCAGCTTTTATAGTGATAATTGTATAGTTTATGCATACTCAAAAGTTATTTCTAAATATTTATATAGATAATAATAATGTATTATGTGTACATTTTAATTAATTAAAAGTTGAAGTTATGCGATGCGAAGATTTGAATTGAATTAGTTGCGCGCGCATCTGCGATACTCGGCAAACTTCACACCGCGAAACGTCAAATGTTGCAGCCGACTTCGCGTTGCTTGCAAAAGTAGTGACCGTTGTTGTTGTCAAAACAACTAAAGAAAAATTGACAATTTTTTTTGATTTTTTCGTTTTTCGTTTAATTTCCGTGCGCACTTATATAATAATATATATATATTTATTAAATAAATAATGCGGAGCCCACGTTCTCTCGTTGCTGGGTAAATAACTTCCTGCTGTGTGTTTATTGTTTACTCTCTGTGGCGTTGCTCTCTCTCTGTCTCTCTATTTCTCTATACAAAATTCTAATTACTTTTCTATAATTATATAACCTTTTAATAGTTTTTCTAAATCTCTTTTTTTTATTAATTTTCTCTCTTTCTGTTTGTGCTCGACTTTGTGTGTGTGTGTGTCTGTGTTATTACTTTCCCCTTGTTTCTTGTACTACGATGGTGCATAACAATGATGTGGGGGATGCCTCAAAAGAACCCCAAATGACTGCCGCCGCAATAACTGTGCATTACTCGCTAAGTTTCAAAAAACTCTGTATGGTGACTGTGGCTTGTCCATTCTTCGCTTTAGTCATCTGCTTCATCACCGCTTACATTTATCAGTACGATGATATCCATGAAACTCACTGCTGTGTATGTGATGAGATACTTGTTTTCAGTGGGGTTATTTGCCCCCCTGAAATACTGTTACATCCATGTTTGTCTAATTGGTTGCTTTTAGGTGTACAACATTGTGCCATCGATTAGCGCCATCACAGGAGTCAGTCCACAGAGGTATCTGTGGAGGGCGAGTGTTGCAGTGCATCTGGGACCCAGGTACATCATTGCGGCTGCTTACAGAGCCTACCAGGTGAACTGCATCAATGACAAGGCCTCGGCGAAGGTAATTTTGTGTTAAATGTGCATGCGATATGTTGAAGATGGGTACATTTTAGTTGCAAAAGCAAGCGCGGTTGTGGTTGGACGCGGCTTTCTGGTTGAACGTGGTGGAGGTGACCGCCTTGGGCGGCGTCACGTACATCTCGAACGTGGAGAACTACCGTAAGGTCATCGTTCGCTCGATCCTGCTGCTATTGTTAACCGATTTCCTTCATTACTTGCAGCCGTCCACGAGAAGCTCTTCATCACGTTCATGGTGACGAGTCTGCTGCATATGGTAGCATGCATCGAATCGCTGAAATCGATAGCGGTGACCAACGATAATCTGGACAACGTCGAGAAGGAGTTGCGCTACAAGAAAACGCTCTTCGTCGTCTCGATAGCCTTCACGGTCGGAATGATCGGCTTCTTCCTGAAACACAGGCTCCTCTGCCACGAAATGGGTGGGTAGAAGAAAATATAACAGAAAGAAGTAGACTAATAGGAAAACAAACTTTCCGGATAGCTTTCAGCTGGTTCGCGATTTGCGAGTACATCGTCGCGACCGCGAACATGGCCTTCCACTTGACACTAATCTACAACTTCCCCACCGAACATTTGGTGGTCGCGAAAGGGCTGGCAATGATACCGCAGCAGCTCAAAAACGAGAAAACGCAATAATGAAAACGATCCTCGACGGCGACGCCGCCTTCTACTATCCACTCCAAAATCCTAGAGCGAGCGAGTGTGTGCGTGAGTGTGTATATATATACAGAGGAAAAAAACAAATTATATATATATATACTAGTCAATTTTTGCCATCCCGATTTCAATAATATTTCATAAGGCTCAAAACGAGTGGGCCGCGAGTCCAAGCAAAGTGCTATATAATATATATATATATATATATCTTTACATTATTAACAAAAGAACAAACAAACCAAAAAAAAAAAAGTTAAATATTAAACGTATTTATTATATTCGCTTATTAAAATTTGTTTTCAAAGTTGAACAAAAAACAAAACAAAAATATAACGAGACATCATAAACAACAACAACAAATTGAGGCTGTGTCGGATTCAAAATTTTTGTTTGTTCGTATATATTGTTTCCTAGTTACTATGTTTTCCATTTATTATTAGTCTTTTAGTGATGCTAGTCAACGCTTTCGTTCCTTAGGTCCTTTGGACTTGAATTTTAAACAGATTTAGTCGACGATCTTGTATTAATAATAATAATAATAATCGTTGCGACACGAGAAGAGAAGCAATGTTATACTTTTTATTTTAAATTGAATTAGTATACGCACAGGATTGCCCACATATCCTTCAATTAATTTTGAACAAGAATAAAAACAACAACAACAAAAAAACAATCCGTTGTTTCGTACTGCAAATTATTATAACGAAGTGAAAAAGAATAAAGTTTTAATTAAAGGATACCCTCGTTTCTAGAATGAACAAAAAAAAACAAATAACAACCCTTAATTAGTAGTTTTAGTTTAGATCTACAAAGCGTTTAGCTGTAACCATAGTTACAATTGTTTGTACGTTATTGAACATTAGTTGACAAGTGTGTAGGTTTTAGCTTGAAATTTCAAATGTAACAACCGAAGCGCCATCTGCGTCTTTAAGAATTCGCAGACTCAATTTACTTTAACAAAGTAATTGAGATATAAATGCTAATTAACTTTTTGTTAATTAGCGAGCGCTTATAAACTTGTGGCTGTAGATGGCGCGTGAGTGTTATGAATAAATATAAAAAAACAAATGATGAGGAGGCGCAAGTTCCCGCATCCGCCACATCATATGTTTTGATCATATGTTTTCTATCAAACGCAGAGCCTCCTTCGTGACCGAGCGGGATTCTTAAACTGAGGTGATCTTAAGAAACACTCGGGGGCTGATGTCGTGTTGATTCATATTCGTTTTTTTCGTCGGGAACTGTGCTTTTTAGGTTATCAAAGAAAACCGAGAAGGTGCGTTTCGCGAAATGGCAACGAGCTTGAGAAGCGATCAGAGCTTCGAAGAGGAGCAGCACAGCACCAGGAGTCCCTCCATCGCATCCCTGAGGGACTTCCAGTGGCCCCTGTTTTTAGCTTCAAAGCAGCCAAAGCGCAGGAAACCTTATCCAAAAGGTAAACATTTTGCATATATCTAGATATAAAGAGGAAGAGTTTGATTGTCATATCATTTAGAAACGTTATTTATTAAAAAAAAAAACAATTCTTACTTAATACGTGGTGGGGCTGTTTTTATTTATTTTCGCTTTATAGGCAACCAAACGTGCACCAAATTTGAAAATCCAATTTATTTAGAGGGAACAAATAATTGAATATTTGTTCACAGCAACTTTAATTTTGCAAATACTAATTAGCATTATTATTTATAACAGTTTATCTGATAATTATTCAAGCCCAATAAGTAGATAGTCAAACAAAAAATGGAATATAAACAACCTTGTTACCATAACATTTGCATATGTACAAGTATTTGTGATTATTGCAAATAAATATACATGAAGTGAAACATAATTTGATATTTGGTATTAAAGCGGATAAACTGATCAAATTGTACAGTTGTATGTGCAAGCAATTCCCAAAACAGTCAGAGCTCTCTGAGTCACACTCACTTTATTTACAATCTGCGCCTTCCGACGCCGAATCGATTTTAATGTAAAGGTCAGTTTCGAGGAGGCGATGAATTTGATAGTGAACTTATCAAACTTTCTGTTTTCGCAATTATGTTGCAAGCAACAGATTTGGAATACTCTTGATTATCTTTAAGAACGTATAATAATTATCATAGTCTCTTTCCTGTGTCTCGTGATAATGCAGCGATAATATTGTTCATTTTTGTTGTTGTTTTACTTTAATTTTTGTTTATGCAATGCAAAACACGAAACACGATAGTCTGATTTTTTTTTAGGATCGTCTGAAATTTCCATGACAACAAACAAAATCGGAACGTTTATTGATATTTGTTGATTCACGTCTGAAATAATTGTAATTTTTAATTTATTTGTGCTTCAATAATTAGATTTTTATTGATAGGAAATTTGGTAAATTGAAAATGAAGAATCTCAAGATTTTGATTGAAGTTAGCGGAAAGGTAAATTTTAAATTTAAATATGTTTTCTTCGTATTGAGAAATTGTTTTGATATGCGCAAAATATTTGTGTTGGATGATGATTTTCTTGTATTCGGATGATGATTGGAAATGCATATGGTTTCAATGTTATTTGTGATGAAATAATTTGTTGTGCAAAAGTTTGGTAAATTCGAAATGAAGAATTAACTTTGTGCTAATGTTTAAATGAAATTTTGAAATGTTTTCTTTTATTGATTGTGTTTTTCGGATGATGATTGGAAATTGGTATTGTTTGATTAGGTAAGAGTGTCGTGTGCTGTGTGCGATTTCTTTTGGTGGAAAAAAATCGATTGTAAGTTTGGAAGAGCGCTTGCGTCAAGAGGGGGCGCCGAAACAGTGTTCGATAGATCCGTGTTGATGTGTGTGAGGCGTCGCGACGTCGTCTCTTCTCTTGCATCGTTTGCGCTCGCAATTCGCGGTGAGCAATAAAATTTGGAAATGAAAGTGCTGGAGATGATCGAGAACGGCCGTGGCGGCAATGGAGTGGTGAACGGCAGTGGCGGCGGCGGCGGATCAGATGATATGGCCGGAGCACAGGACACAATCTACCTGTGCAACTTTCGCGTTTCCGTGGACGGAGAATGGTTGTGTCTGAAGGAGCTTCACGACGTCGAATATCCGATGAACAACAATCCGCCAACGCAGGAGGTTCAGCACAATTTCGGTGCTCGCAAAATCGTTCCGTTTTCCTTTGAGAAATGCGAATAATCAATAGCGTTTGATGATTAATTTTTTTTATGTAATTGTGTGTGTTTGCGTTTCTTTGCAGGTCGGGATCCGGTCGTCATTGAGCGCAGCAATCTCGTCAACATCAGCAAATTGGTCGTCAAAGAATTGATCGAGCAGAGTCTGCGGTATGGAAGGATGCTCGACTCTGATCACATGCCTCTGCAGCATTTCTTCATCGTTTTGGAACACGTTCTGAGGCACGGTTTGAGGCCGAAGAAGGGTTTGTTGGGACCGAAGAAGGAGCTTTGGGATATACTGCAGACCGTTGAGAAATTTGCACCGGAAGCTCAGGACATCACCTCGAGCGTTCGAGATTTACCGACCGTCAAGTAAGGGGGATGATGTTTATACAGCGTACAGATATTTTTTTTAAAACTTTTTGTTTCTCTTCGGAAAGCACCCACATGGGACGTGCTAGGGCTTGGTTAAGGTTGGCGCTTATGCAAAAGAAGCTGGCCGATTATCTGAAGGTGCTTCTCGATAACAAGGATGAAGCTCTTGCAGAATACTTTGAACCGGACGCTCTGATGCTCAGCGACGAAGCCATCATAATCATCGGTCTTCTCGTCGGTTTGAACGTGATCGATTGCAATCTGTGCGTGAAGGAGGAGGATTTGGATTGTCCTCAGGGTGTAATCGACTTCTCATTGTACCTGAGATCTTCCAACCAAGTCTCCACCGACTTAGGTAACGAAGAGGATGAGGATGAAAGCCACATGACAACGGTTCTCGATCAGAAGAATTACATCGAGGAGCTGAACAGGCATTTAAAGTAATTCTTCCCATTCCCAATGGCAGATGAGGAGCATTGCTTTAACATAATCGCTTCTTTTAGCGCTACTGTTACCAATCTTCAAAATAAAGTCGAGAGTTTGACCACGACGAATGCGCTCATGAAGGAGGATCTCGCAATCGCGAAGAATAATTTGTACACGCTTTTCGAAGAGAACAAGCAGTTGAGGGTGGATCTAGGTAGAGAAGAGTCCAGCATGAGGATCAGCATGCTCTGCGAATCGGGCGCAACCATAGAGTCTACGAGCACAACCGGAGAAGTTGTAGAACTGAAGCAGCGGCTCGAAGAGGAGCGCAAATTACGGCAAGAAGCAGACAAAGAACTACAACTTCAAGTGAGTCTATTTTTCTTTTTCGAATGTTTGAGCATTAACCGATTTCTGTTCTGCTGAAAGATGGACCTGAAAGCTGAAATGGAGGTTGCGATGAAACTTTTAGAGAAGGACATCCACGAGAAACAAGATACTATTATCTCGCTGCGGCGTCAGCTCGACGAGATCAAGCTGATCAACCTGGAGATGTACAAGAAGTTACAGGTAATTCAAGTTTCGCGTGCGCCTCGAATTCTCGTATAAAATCATAAATTAATTTTTCGCACCTTCGCCGGGGTGGTCGTTTGAAACGTGTGTTCCGATCATCATCATCATCATCCATATTTTACTGTTGCTTGTGCCGTTTAGGAGTGCGAGATGGAGCTGACGCAGAAGGGCGAGGTGGTGAGCCGGCTGCAGGCCAAGACCTGTCAGATCGGCAAGATCCTCACCAACCTGGAGAAGTTCAATCACCACGCCCAGGAGAAGAAGCGCACCACGCCCACCTCGGAGAGGCCCCGCTCCTTCGTACCGACGCCCGCCCCGCGAGCCGTCGTCGCCGAGACTAGCGACAAACTCTAAACGCCATCGCCGCCTCTTCTTCAATTATTTTCCTTTATTTATTTTTTTACACACATACATACAAATTTGTAACAATACCGATTTATTATGTTTTCGTTCTTCTATCTTTATGTTGTAATACGCGCGTACGTGTCTGTCGTTTTATGAACGTATTGTAAGTGGCTTCGTTTCAGGAATGCGAGGGTTCTGTCAAACACAAAACAGAGTTAATTAGCAAGCTCGAGGCGAAGGCCCAATCCATGTCCGGTACGATTGTAAACCTCGAACATAAGTACGTATGAGACGGCTCTCTCGCATAAACCTCTCTATCTCTCGCAGTTCAAAATAGCTAATACCTCCTCTAACAACTAATTATAATAATGACCTAATCTAATTGATTTAAACCCGCTTTAACAAGCATACTTAGACTAATTATCTTATTCTGCTAAGCAAACAGAATATATATATATCTACAAATCTACAAATTAATGTTCGAAAGAGATTTAAAGAAAGAAAAAAATAATGATGCTGTGATTTTATTTTACTTTCTATCGTATAGTAGTTAGTTGATTAAACGTGGGGAAGAAATAATTTATATTTTTAGATATTAAGTGGAACTTATAATGATAACATAGTTTGGTTTCAATGACTAACTAACTAACTAACAAATAAAATGATAAAAGCTGAAAAGGAAAAAATCCCAAATACAAATTTTAATTCCCTAACTATTATTATTATTAACATTTCTTTTCACTTTTGGTTTTATTTATTTTTTAATTAATTTTCTTCCAACAAATTAACAATATTTATAATTTATTTATGATTTAGTTTATTTTTTTCGTTCATTTTACGCATTGAAGGTATAAAGAGACGGAGAACTGCCTGATGTCCACCGAGGCGCAGAAGCGAGAGCTGAATATGCACTTGAGTCAGAACGAGGAGCAGACGACGAACTTCGAGAGCGATCTGAAGGTGGAGAGGGAATGGAGGAGATCGCTGCAGGAAACGATGCAGCAGGACAGAGAGAAGATCGGGCGATTGCAGCACGAATTGACACAACACAAGACCATCTCTCAAGTAAGAAATATTATTAAAATTATGTTCAAGACTATTTTCACATAGATAATAATATTATTTATTGATTCGTTTCAGAAATACGTCTCACTGCAGGAAGATTATTATATGCTGAAAGAGCACAGCTTGGAGCAGGATCAGACGCTCGAGGAATTGGGAAGACAGCTGAGCCTCTCCAAGCTGCAGTTATCTGATATGAAGGAGGAGGCGAGTAAATCGAAGACGGATTCCTCGACCTGGGCCAAAGATACGTCAGCTACGCACTGCAAGGCGTGCAGCAAAGAGTTCAACCTGACCAGACGAAAGGTAAATTCGGTTAAATTCGCTCAAAAGCAGATTCTACAATATTCGAAATATTTGCAGCACCATTGCAGGAACTGCGGCGAAATCTTCTGCAACTCTTGCTCCGACAATTCGATGTCGCTACCGTCGTCCGCAAAACCGGTGCGCGTCTGCGATGATTGCCATCTGATACTCGTCCAGCGCAATTCTGTGATGTAATCAACGTTCGTTTGTTCGTTCATCTAGTTTATTTTATATTTACAAAAAAAAACTTAATTCATTGGCCTTACGCAATTGCGCGAAAGATATATATGTTGCTTTGTGCAAAAAAAAAAACAAACATCGAAGTTTCTTTTAAAAATCAAATTAAATTTATATATCTATACAAAAATTATATTCTTATCGAATTCGGATGTAAATAAACATTAAGTTAGGCAACCCAATTAGCTCCGATTAATTAATTGAGCAGGTGCATTTTGATGGAGACGGCGACGATGATTGGTGTGAATGACCGAAATGAATTTTTGCATCGTTGGTATCGTCAACATCATCATGTATTGTTTTATCTGATGACATAACCTGTTTATTTTAAATAACCTCAATATATTTATAAATAACAGAGAGGTGGGACGCGACCACCCGCGTTTTTCATTTTTTTTTCTGTTGTTGTTGCTCCATTTAATTTCCCTATGGTTTTTTGAATGAAACCAATATTGAAAGTGCAATAAATTAAATGATGAATAACCTACTTGCGGTTGTGATATTCCTTGCCATCCGATGGCTCTCTGTCTTCTTCGTCAACACCTGGTTCGTCCCAGATGAGTACTGGCAGAGTCTTGAGGTGGCACACAAGTTGGTGTACGGGTATGGGTATTTGACATGGGAATGGACCCATGGTATTCGCAGCTACATCCATCCCCTGATAATAGCACTGTTCTACAAGTTCTTCAACCTAATCCAATTAGATTCTGCTCAACTATTGGTAACATCTTATTAGAAATATTGCGAAATTTTATTTTTATCATTTTTAGATTTTATTGCCCAGATTCTTGCAAGCTACCCTGAGTACTTATTCAGATTACTGCTTCTGGAAGTGGTGTGGCAAGACCAAATGGTCAATGTTCTGCATTGGAAGTTCATGGTTCTGGTTCTATACTGGATCGAGGACATTGATCAACACTTTGGAAACCAATCTGACAATCATTGCTCTCTCAAAGTTCTCCTTTAAGGAGAACAGCAGTCTGAAATTCCTGTGGATTGTTGGTTTGGTGTGTGCTTTGAGGCCAACAGGAGCTTTGGTCTGGATACCATTATGTTTGTACAACATTTTAAGCAATGGAAAATCGTTAAAAGAAGTTTTGACTAAATACATTTTGATTGGGTAAGCAATTCACTCAGAAATTGACAATTTTGATTGGTTATTTTTTGACAATAACAATTCACGATCGAGACAGTTGAAGACCTTGCATCGAAATCGGCTTTATCTGTCTGCAGTCTTGTCTTTCATAATCAATACCGTTTTGTTTATTTGAATTGTAACTACTTATATGAAACGGGTTTTTCTGGTTTCTGATAATTAGATGCGTCATTGGAGTAACTGTTATTTCTACGTTAACAACGTAATCTTAAACTGTTATTTATTAGCAATTATATTTCTTTTGTTTTTGTATGTTGATTTTAGTATTATGCAGAGATTGTATTGTATTTTTGTTTCAGGTTGGCCGTGTTTGGAGCGAGCGTGGCCATCGACAGCGCGGCGCACGGTTCACTGCTGATTTCCCAATGGGAATTCCTGAAGATGAACGTGCTCAATAACGTGGGCGTATGGTACGGAACCCATCCATGGCACTGGTATCTGTCGCAGGGAATTCCCGCGATACTCGGCATCCAGATACTACCCTTCATCATCGCCGTCGTTCACATTCTGAAGAATCGTCGCAACTACCCGGAGGAGCTGATCCTGCTGGGCACCGTATGCTTCGTGACGGCCATTTACAGTTGCCTGGGGCACAAGGAGTTCAGATTCCTGCTGCCCGTCCTCCCCATCATGCTGAAGATAAGCGCTCAGTATTTGAGCAATTGGAGCAGGAAGGCATCCGAGTGAGTTGTACGAGATTTTCGTGTAAACTCGTGTATTGTTATTATCTCGTTTTTTGCAGCGCCATTGTTTGGGTGGTGGCCATAGTGATTCTGATTGGTAACGTCGTTCCGGCCGTCTACTGGGGGCGTGTCCATCAGAAGGGAACTTTAGAAGTTATGCAACCGCTCCGAGATTTGGCCCTTAAAGATCCGAAAGATGCGAGCATTCTCTTCTTGATGCCCTGCCATTCGACGCCTCTTTACAGTCATCTTCATGTCAACGTGACGGCTCGCTTTTTGACCTGCAACCCTAACCTGAATAACGTCGATGGATACGTGGATGAGGCCGACTACTTTTACAAATCTCCGTCCACCTGGATGAGGAACAACTATCCGCCCAGCAAGAGGCTGCCCAAGTACATCGTGGCCTTCGATAATCTGGAGACGAGCATAAGCGACGTCCTCAGCAGGTTCTACGAACAACCGAATCTTCGAATTCTTCAATTCTGATCCTCTTTCGTTGTTGCTTCCAGATACAAACCCATTTCTCGTGTTCAGCACACGTACGGCGTGACCCCAGGCGACGACAGAGTAGGTAAGTATGTCGTCGTGCACGAGTTGCTCAAATCACACATCGACAATACTAGAGACGTTTAAGAACAACAAAAAAAAATAATAATTATTGTTTTCCAAGTACAAAAAAAAATCCACATATGTGTTCAAAACGGTTTTAACCGATCGAGGCTTTTTATTCATTTTGTTTTTATTCTTTTAAAGATCTCCATTATTTTTACTCCTGTTTATTAATATTATTATTATTGTTTGCAGTATTCTTTTAACAATTATGACTTTCTCAAATGAAATGTTTTCCTTTTCACGACAATAAACGTTTTATCCCGATTCGATTGTTACTGCTGTTCATTTCTTATGTTTGGGTGGACTTTGCTTTCTGATGCGGCGGCAATTTCGAATTTGTTGAGTTTGGAAAAACCCAGCGCACACACACGCGCACGTAATCTGTGTGAGGTCCAGTGAGGTCGTTACACATCGGATTCTCAATGTCACGCGACGAGTCACAATAAGAAAAAGGCAAGAACCGATCGAAAAACTCGTTTAATGAGAGTCTCCGCAGCAGTCAGGTTCGAATTGGAAGTGCGCGAACCGCAAGAGACGATTAGCGGTAGAAGACGCGCAGGTTCAACAGCCTACCTTCCTACGAACTACTCCTATTCTTCTTCACCACCTCCTTCGTAATCAAACAACATCATCATCAGTTTAGTTGTGTGCAGCGAACGGTCAAAATGCAGCAGCCGAAGATAATATTTTGCGTACTGCTGGTGTCTTTGGTGACCCTAGCAAGGGCGGAGCCACCCACAAATCCCATCTACAACGCTGGCAATCAGAAATTCGCCATGGAACTCTTTCAGGTACATATATAGACATGCAAACAATACAAAAAAAAACGAACGGTATTTTCCCTCATCGCAATTTCCTTGCTCAATTAGAATAGCTAACTTGGTTGCCTACGATGCTATTCACCTGTCAGGTGACATTGTTGGCATTATCTAAGGTGCGAAATTCGACCAATCACCGTCGTGCAAGTAATCTAAACAAACAATTGGGGGTTTGTCGGAGCACGGGGGGAGGAGCCAAGGTCACCACTCCCCTATTTATTTCAATTGAATTTCCTGCTACACATGTAATTTAGCAAGGTTCAAGTACGCAAAGTCCGCAAATAGATATGCGACATCCATGAAAATAAAAGCTAATAAAGCGCATGTTGACAACATTATTTTTTGTGTTTATTAAAATATGTTTACTACATAAGGAAAACCAGTTGAAATTTTGGACATCAAAAGAAATAACAGGAAATACCGGATATCGAAATGCGCAGTTCATTATTATACAGAACAAGAAATTCTCCTGAGGAAAAATAACATTCATAATCATATATATATATTGTAGTTTAAAACCTATTTGAAATAAAATTGACTAGTTATTTTTTCGAGAAGTAAACGATGTTTTAATCTGTTTGTCTTGTGAACTTTAAATTCTAATTTCCAAGTAATTAATAAGTGTTGATTGAAATATTAAATGCAGTAAATTATAAGTAATGAATATGTTAGTATTGTTATTGGTGCAATTCCAATACAAAAACGGTTAAATTTATGACTATCGGTAAAGAGCGTAGAGGAATTGAGGCGTGGGTTTCTCGCAGACAGTGTCCTTGATGAGGACGTTGATGGGTGCGAAGAAGACGTGGAAGTTGTACTCTTCGAAGTTGAGGCTGGAGAGGAGGAAGTTGGGCATGCGATCGGACATGACCCAGACGTTTGCCTCGCGATCGACCTTCACGTCCGAGGGGAAGATCAGCTTCTCGTCATCCCTTTCGATCATGGCCAGATTGTTGCGCCTGTACGGATTCAAACTGTTCCAGCAGCCGATTGCGTTTTGATCGATCAAATTAAAGAACTGCACGCCATCCTCGTCCATGACCCTGGCCGTGGTATGAGCCAACGGACCTCTATCCTCCAATGGAGTGAAATCAAAGTAGGCCGACTCGACCTTCGTTTTGTCGCGCAACGTGCGAGTAGACACAGAGAACTCCCGATTGCTGGCCAGCGGGCTGAAGAACATCGTTCGGAAGCCGTCGTGCTGCATCGGTGATAAGGACATGCCGAAGATGCCCTCCTCGCCCCACTGAAAGTTTAGGCCGCCGATGTTGAAGTCGCCGGCGAGGGGATCCGGCATGAAGAAGCTGTGCATGAAGCGCCACGAAGTGTTCTCCTGCCAGGAGTAGACGATCAAGCCGTAGCCCAGCTCGTCGCTGAGGTAGGCGAAGGCATCGTCACAGCTCTTGCCGACGTCCACGGCGATGTTCGCTATGAAAGAGTTGGCGTTCGTGTCGGCAGCACGCAGCTCGTAACGGCGAATTCGGCGATTGGTGCGTAGATCGAAGACGTTCAGCGCATAAGGGCAGGGATTGGTTGTGGTGTTACCGATACCGAAGGTGCCCGTGTCCAGCACCCAGAGACGATCGCATTTGTCCGCCTTAATACGGTAGACGGTCGTCATTCCCGTTTCGCAATTACCAACCTCGTTGCTCTTCCAATCCGGGAACGGGTTTAGCTTCGGGGATTCCGGTGCACCCTTGTACAGCTGCACATAGTTCAACGTCGAAGGAATACCTGTGTGTGTTCAAACAAATATATAATCAATTTGTAATTGATAAATTGAACCATCAAACACTCTCTTCCGCCATTAAGCTATAAATAAAAAAAAAAAAGCCCATTTGCATATATTAAGTATTTCTAATTGATCTGAAACGAACAAGAAGTAAACATAGTTACGACACGTTCTCTCGCTTAAAACTTCATATTTCAAAACACATTTATTTGCAAATTCCGTTACTGTTACATAAAACAAACTCCGTTTCAAAAACAATTTTCAAAATAGTTTTCCTCAATAAATGCGAACTTTCACGGTGGGAATCCGTAAATACACACACACACAATCTCGAGCTTCATTGAGCGAAGAGCACGTAGCAGGAAGCGCAGCTCTCTGGAAAATTTTTCCAGCGGGACCGTAAAATAAAATAATACGTTACGCGTTATTGGATTAATTATTAATAATTAATCGGTTTACACAGTCTTCGCCTTCAATCAGGCTCATTGTATTCAATATGCAGATTTTCTTTTGCTGAATTCAAGGTTTTCACTTGATCATTGCAGAATGAACTGAAAAATTTTATGAAATTAAAAAATGAAATGTGTATGCAATGAATGTTACGTTCTAATTTGATTTTCAATCAATTCAGCCTTGTTTAATACATGCACATTCAAACTAATGAAAAACGCATGCAGTTTGCATTTCCTCCAAATATACATTATTACATCACCGATTTTTCTTTCTTATATAACGAGAAACCCCATTAACCATAATATGTTTACATCATTTAAATACTTTTGTTGCGCAAACTTATTTAATTTACTCTAGATGTAAAATATTAACATCTGTATTGATTAATTGTAGTTCATGCAATTTCGTACTGTTTCCTACAATTTATAAGTTGGTGATAAGTTGATTCAAGCTTAATAATGTATTAGCAAAGAAGAGAGTTTAAACGAACTTGTAGAAATCTCCTTGAAATTATTAGAAGTTTTATTTCGTATATAACGTTACGTGTTGTCATTTAATGTATATATTATTTACTTTTTCGATTTCTTATTAAAAGTATTAATCTACATACTGGAATATGTGATGCAAGTGGTTGCGATAGGTGTATTGCTACAGAGCAAATAGTGTAGAGTGGGCGTAAACGGGTCGAAATTTCGTGTTATTAACAGAAGAGATAAATGATGTGTTTGTGTGCGAATTACGATGTTGTTGTTTTTGTAGTTGGTGGATTGTTATTACCTGCACGCCATCGTGGGACGCTCACGAAGAGCTTGTCGTTCCAAATCTCTATGCCGACCGGTAGATTATTTTCGGGAATGAACCTCTTATTGAACAGTGCCTCGTTCCTCTTCCCCTCGTCTGCAAAGGCGTAGTCCATCTGTTTCCATCTGAACACCTCCTGCATCTTGAAGGTAGCCTCCACGGCGAGGAGAGCCATCAGCGACACGACGAGCAGCAGACGGTACATTCTGACCATTATTTTTTTTGAAACTTCGAACCCAAGAAATTCGTATTTATATCGTCCCGCGGCGTCCTCCCCACATTTTCGCACCTTGCTTGCAACCAATCCGCGCTTAGAAAGTCTCTCATTTAGAATTAACCACTACAACATTTGATAAGCAGAACATATGATGGTGCAATGGAGCGAACAGAAGAAAAAAAAGAATATGATGAATGTTAATAGGGGAGAAAGAGAATGTGACCTTAACGTCAAATCGACTTATTTTTCAGGAGGTGCTGCGAACGGAACCAGGAAACCTGCTGGTCAGTCCCGTCTCCCTGCAGATGGTGATGAGCGTTGCGGCGATCGGCGCCAGAGGTCCCACGCAGCTGGAGGCCCTCGACGTGCTCAAACTTCCACCGAACGAGCAGATCGTAGTGCGCACTCTGAACTACATCATCTCCACGCTGAAGGGCAACGAGAACTTTGCGCTGAACCTTGCCAACGGCCTCTTCGTGAGCGATCAGTTCAGGATCAACGAGACCTTCAGGAGTCTGGTCCAGAGAGGCTTCGGGGCTCAGGTGCAGACGTTGGATTTTCAGCAGCGAGAGCAGTCATCGAACGCCATCAACAATTGGGTAGCTCAGAAAACGAACAACAAGATAAAGGAACTGGTGTCGCCCAACGAATTGCTTCCCGAAAGTAGACTATTTCTGCTCAACGCCATCCATTTCAAAGGTTACCAATTACTTATTATATAAATAATACATCTTAATCACTCTTACTTTCTGATGCAGGTAATTGGCTCAAGCCCTTCGACCAATACGACACCATCTTGAGACCGTTCCATCTGGATAACGGCGCCGTCGAGAACGTCCACATGATGCAGATAACAGATTCCTTCGACTACTACGACAACGGCGAATACCAGCTGCTGTCGATGCCGTACGAAGGAGGCGAAGCCTCCATGGTCTTCATTCTTCCCAGGAAGGGAAGATCGTTGCAAAACGTGCAGCTGCAAAATCTAATCTCGGCACCGTTCACCCAGCAGCTGGTGCGCGTGCAAATCCCCAGGTTCAGCATCGAAACAACAGTTCAGTTCAAGCCGATCCTGGAAAAGGTACATTGTAAAATATCTTTATTGACTAGTTTAAAAAAGTCTAGACCATTCATCTGCTAGTGTCAGGAAATTGTTTGAAAACATCTTAAATTATTTCCATTATAGCTTTTCACTATTTTTTACGAGCTCGCAAATTTCCATTTGCGGAAATACTCAAACAGTTGAGTTTCCATAAAGAGCACTAATTAATGGACAGGATAAGTTATACTCGAGATCTCTCTACTAATTAAAAGGCAATAAACATCAGAAATAACTGTGCGTCCGGATTGACTTGTCGCAACAAATGTCTTAATACCATAAAACGCACATATTCAATGTTTAACAACAACAACAAATTAGATAAGAAAAATTTCATTTCAAACCAGTTGGTAATTATTTAAAAATATTGTTTTACTTCATTTTCATTTGGAATGTTAAAGCTGCGTTCATTTGGTTTTAATTGGTGTTGTAAGACAAAAAGTAAATAGAAGTTTAAATCGTTAATTAATCAATTAATTATACAAAAATTGAAATAGAAAAAAATGTGGAAATTGTATAATATCAAATACGAAATAATTTAATTAATATTGAACCATGTAAATGCATCTTGAGCTGAGAAATATCGTATTTCGTACGCTCCAAATCCCTGATCTATTTAACTGACTTTCCAAAAACCAGTTTCCGTGCTACACAAATATTACAAATTACTGATATGAATTGATTTTACAAATGTAAATTTGTAAAGTGCGTGCTTCCATCACGTAATATTAGTAGAAATTGCTGCAGTTTTTAGGGAAATGAACGTACGAGAATTCTGCAAACTGCAATTGCATGATAGTCCTGATTTGGTTATTTGCACACGAGGGACTCATAACACCGATCAAATTCTTGGAAGTGTGCGGTATATACGGTTGGCACGATTTAGTTGATTCGATGCGTGTGTTGAAAGTTGTTGCTAAACTATATTTTTGAATGTCTCCCACTGAAGTAGTATAGTTTGAGTAGTGTTTATCAAGTAGTTGTCTTTACTTACATTGCATTTTTGCAGATGGGAATGAGACACATCTTCAGCCGGGCCGCTGATTTGAGTGGTATTGGATCGGATTTGATCGTCGACAAGGTTGTGCAGAAGACGTTCATCAATGTGACGGAGAAGGGCACGGAGGCGGCGGCCGCCACTGCAGGTTCGTATAGGAATTGGTGCTACCAATTTCATCCGGGGGTGAGAATCCCCGTCCGCTTTGTACATACTGGCTTTTCTTGTAGGAGGCGTTGTCACGCTGTCTATCCCCGCCCCGGACCATCGCGTCAAATCGGAGTTCATAGCGGACCGCCCCTTCCTGGTCGTCCTCCACCTGATCAACAGCCCGAACGCCCGCCGAGCCCAGCATCCCGAATACATCCTCTTCACCGGCCGCATTGCATCCCCATAAACCGTTTAAACATCCTACTCCTCGACGAAAGACAGACAGAGAGATACAGAATGAAAGGAACACTATTAACGAACCTAAAATAAAAACTACTATTAAGTGAAACTTGACGAACATCAATTTAGACTGATTAGCATCCGTGCGGCTTTTTGCAGCGACAGTCATCGAGCGGATAGGCGAGGAGGAGGACCTCTCGCAGCCACCGTTCGTCGCCGATCATCCATTCGCGATTTGCCTCCTGCATAAGGACGAGCACATCCTCTTCGGCGGACGCGTCAACATTCCAATTAGCTAGAATAGGAACATACAAGATTACTATTATTATTAATATATAATCACGATGCGCACTTATCTCGACGCATCCGCATTTTATTTTTGTACGGATTTTTAACAAATAAAATTATTGTTATGTAACTACACGGAACAAAAGCTTATTCACCTTACATCCTACCCTACAATGTATAATAGAAGAACTTAAGTCACTTGTATCCTTTGAGGTATTCCTGTTTTTTTTTTTTTGATACACCAACATCCAATTTCCAAATTCGTTTTCAACGAAACCTGAAAAAAACCAACAGAATTACTTCATAAAAATACTGTAATCGAGTTACACATTTGCATATTAATTATAAGTTTTAAAAGAGATCATAATAAACGAGAATTCATTTCATAATCGAATTCCTTTCATCTTATTAACAAGAGTCATTAAATAAACTTTTCAATTCTCAATGTAATGCAGTGGTTTCCAAACTTGATGTTACTACGCCTCCCTCAAAAGAATGTAATCATTTGGCGCCTCGCCACCCCCCTCCATTTCATAAAAGGAACGCGTATTACAGCAATATGGATAAGAGCAGAGGAATGTATCTATACTTGCTGGATTCCCCAAACATTTAGCTTTCATATGCATCTTTTGGATTCATTATATCTATTACAGTTTACGAGAAAATCAATGAAATG